TTTTTTCGTGAAAAGTTTCGAGTTTTCCCTCGTTTGAAAAACCTTCGGCTTTGGCCGGATGAAAATCGAGATATCGCTTTGAAGAATACATTTCCTGACTCAGTTTTAGATGAGGATTCCGAAAAAAGTTGATCCAGACCTCCATCTCTTATCGTTTAGAAATGGCAGGCTTTTTTCCACTTGAAAGCTCTCTTTCTTCAAAAAGCCTTTTCTTTTTTTTTGCCTCGCCTGACCGGAAACAAGAAGATATCTCCACACCCGACACAGTTCTAGAATCAGCACGACAAGGCGCATCTTTCTATGCAATAATATCGACAAAAAAAAGACTGCTATAATTTTTGCTGTTCCGGCACCTTAGGAGACTCTCTCCTTAAAAAACAAAAGCACTGGACAAGCGAGTAGAGAGTGAAATGAAGTAAATTTTCGCACACGCATTTCTTCTTCATCGTCCTCCGTTTTGGTTTGCCGCCCTGTTATTACACACATTCGCTTCACGATCAATATTGATTCGTTGACGTGGCCGGGTTCGTGTTACTCCGAAAGTAGATAAAACTAGTAGTGCAACATGCATAGAGAGCAAATAATGCTTTGTTGCTTCGCCCTTGTTGTCCATCGTGTTTCATCCCTGTAAATGGAGGAAGCCTTCTTCGTCCCATACCTCAAGATACTACACCCATTGGTTCTGTGATACCTCCATCGTACTACCACAACAACAACAATAATGTCTCCTCGATGCCTTTTTGTGAACCTTCACTTCCTCTATTCGCTGCCGCTCTTTTGCACCAACCACTGATGTATATCGCAAAATCAACAACTAATTCCTAATAAAACACCCTTAAACCCGTCCATATATGAAAGGATAACGCCAAAAAAGGCACTCATCAAAGAAAAGAAGAAGTAAAAGATGAGAGTAGATTGCTCATGATTTTTACTGTTTTTCCAAAATAAACTTGGTTGTTAACAATCATCTTGTAGTTACTTTAGATTAATCGGTTAAATTTGATATCATGGTAAAAGTCTACTTCTGGTCAATGAGCAGGGACGGTGTGGGTCACTTGTCCTTGCAACTTTCTAACGGCATCTACATAAGTCACTGGCCCGGAGAGCGTACGACTTGGAAAAAAGGAGCAAGCCAACCTCCGTCTCTTGACCACGATATTGAACTTGAAGGCCGTCGTCCGGATCAGTCACTTGATATTCCCAGCAAGATGATCTTCGAGAATCGAATTGAAGCATGGTGGAAAGACTACTACCAAAGTGCCGTATACAATCTGGTAGTCAACAATTGTGGCCAGGTGGTACGCCGCGCACTTGTTGAAGGCGATATAGAAGAGACTATACCATGGTATCATAGGTATCTCTACTACGGCACCAAGTGGATTCACGCCACGTTGACACCGCATGACTGTCTGGCCTGGATCAAATATATCATCGGGATACACTGAGCATTTTGAAGGCGAAAGAAAAATGTACGAGACAATAAATGACTGAAGAATTTGTTAAAGCGAAACTTTACATGAGTTGAGCTCTTTTCGATTTTAAGTTTGACTATCAGTTGATTTTTCTGCCGTTGAAGAAAGATTTAGAAGCGTCCCAATGCATTTGCCAGCGTGACCCACAATAACTTTTAACCACAAATCTGCCTATCAAACAACACGAGCATCACACTGCCCAGAAGAGGAGAAGCACAGCAGGAGGAGAAGGAAAGAGAGACAGAAGAGACAACCGAAAGTCGCCTCATTTCAATGTTTCCTTTCATTTCCCTTTCCTTTCGTTCACTCAATTCAAAAGGAAGTCTAGCCAAGAATGCAAGGGGGAACGCACGGAATCCTGGAATCCTGAATTCCCCTGGATTCCAATGATTCTTTAGGATTCCTTAAGATTCTCTAGGATTCCATAGGATTCTCTTCGCTTTCTTAGAACTCCTCTAGATTGTGAATAAACTTCTAAAACTGTCAAAGGACACCATCTGTATCGCCCTCAGGTTTCCATGCTGATATCTGTTTTTCGTTTTTCTTTATTCGATTCGTTTGTAGTTATTTGTTTGCTGAGTTGTAGTTCAAGGGATCACACTACCTCCACTAAAAGCTGTTTACCCCCCTTACCTATATTTGTTATCATTGACCAGTCCTTATCTCTCGTTATTTTTTATCTTATTCTAGGTCTCCTTTTCTTTGTTCGATTCATACTCGTCGTCTCTCTCTATGATTTTCTTTTCGATATAATAGAGCCGTATCAAATAAGGGATATCTATATCTTTTCACTTCTCGGCAAATGTGAGCAAATGTCTGTTCGAATACATCGTGTTCTTTTTCTCGATATAATATATATTTGAGCGTACCGTTTTTTTCTATTATTCATTCGGAGGAGGAGAAGTTAAAAGTAGTCAGGAGTTAGTCGTGATTAGTACTGCATCTTAGATCGTATTCTTGATCTCTTCTTCATCGTTTTATACTCTTCGTTTCTTTGTGTTTTTTATTACTATTTTCTAAAATATATTCATTATCAAGTGACACCATTCTAGCAAGACAGGTGAGTACATCGCGCATTTTGTCTTTCCTTGGGAGCAGCAATAGTCTATCGTTAGAAGTCACCGGGCCGGGAACCAAAGGTTAGCAATCTTATCAGATATCTAAGTATATAATTGCATCAGTGAGATACTTTTATTGATGAAAAATATTTTATATTTTTGATGTCAGTAATCGTATAATTGATGTTCAATCGACGAAATGTTCGAATCGTTTTTTATTTAATTTTGCTTGCTGTCTTCCATAACTTGTAATAACCTATCGGTTGACAGACGATCATTTTTGCCGGTCAAGATCCATACTGCTGACTGTTTATGTCAGAATTTCATCGTATCATTAATTTTCACTTTGATATATGAGTTTGCGAATCAGGATTAATTTTACCTTTGATGCGCGTTCCAGAAAAAATTGTTTTTATAGATCATCTGATTCTGAATTCATGTCGTCGTCATCGTGTATTTTTCCTGTTAAATTATCATACACTTTTGACATCGAATTTAATTCATTAAATATAAATTCACTTAATTTTTCTATTTTATATATTTGCTGTTTTTTTAATAATGCTGTTATTCCTAAATTTTCAATTAATTCAACTGATGCTTCATATGTTTCTGATATAACCTGTTCTATATCCAAATAATCAACATCATCTAAATTTTGTATTGTAAATAAATCATTGTTAGTTTTAGGTTTATGATGAATTGGAATAATATGCGTTCTCCAGGTTGATTTGTTAATTCATTACATTTTATTTTATTTAATAATGATAGTTTTGCTGCACGCCGAAGGAAATGATGAGTTGTGAAGTTCACTATTGTGGAATAGGCACCACTTAACGATCTTGCATTCCGGAACATTCCTTCACAAGATTGTGAATTAAATAAAAAAATATGTAATGAATCTTTTGGTAATTGTTTTTGTTGGACTAATAATATCAGAAATAATAAATTATGAGCATTTAACTCAACTGATAAATACGCTGTTCTTGTTATAAAATATTTATCTTTATTTATTGGTGTCGATGATTGATTTTTAAATATTTTATTTTTTAACCATGCTAGCCGTAGACGACAGACAAAAACAATTATCCACGCTGATTTTAAACCTGAAAGGAAAAAGATTGTATCAACACAAAAATGATTCACCCAGCTGACAAAATTCGCGCTTTTTTGTTTACATCATATATTACAAATTAGGGGAGATAATGTGTTACTTGTTTTCAACGTGAAAAGAGAAAATAATGATCTTTCTTATGATAAAAATCACACTATTCTAGATCTTTTACTTTTCGAGATATTATTAAAAAAAGAATAAAGTTCATTAGCTGACTGATTAATTTTTGAAGTCACTGTGATAATCAAATGAAGTGTAGTATTATTTTTTTATTCAAAGGAAAATATGAAAACATCATACATGGCAGTTACAAGATTTTGTTAAGAATAATCATATAATGCTCTACTAACTTACGTGTTTTGAGTGATGTTGTTGTTTGAATATATGTTGTTATTATTAATCTTAATAGTTGAAGATATACAAATGTTCCTTGTGTATTAGTATTATTTTTTAAAATATTTAATACAACATCTGATGATAATCTTTCGCATGAACGATAATTTTTGATGATCTTTTGGATTTATATCTGTTCTAATTAAATTATGATCTAACTTTGTATATTGTCTGCTCTCAATAATATCTCTTAAATGCTCAATAGTAATTATTTGTTGACCAATACATAATTGAACTGTTGATGATAATAAACGATTCCTCCATTTGGTGACTAAATGTGTTGGATCTTGTAAAAATAAGAATAGTTGTTCTTGACGAAGGTAAAACCAACACCATTTCGATGTTAAATTTAATTTAAATGCATTTGGATGTTGATGTAATTTAAAATCCGGTAAAGTTGCAAAAAAACCACTCACTAACCTCATTGCTCTCATATATTTACTGTCAGCATCTATTGAAAAACAAGATAAACCGAAGTAAATACATTTTGTAGTTATTTATATTCATAAGAACATTGCAAAAAGTCAGAAATGATATTTTACCTGAGGAAAAGCCTATAATTCGAATTTGCTTTTTTATACAACATTCATAAATAAATAACCATCGACGTAAAATATCATTTGTTGTATATGTATTTTCAACACCATAGGCAGATAGTAAAAATGGACTTGGTAAACTTGTATGACTTGATGGTAATGGTTGAAACATATGTATGTTGAATAGTGGTGCTTTCTTAATTGTGCTAAACCAAGTCTTAAGTTTTTCAAATGAATCAGTTTGATAGTATTGCAAAAGTGGTATTCCATTATCAAGTGGTGTTGAAAAACCTATGAATGAATTTGTGTTAACATCATATTTTATCTTACAGATGACACCAGTACAATCTTCTGATACAAAACCAAATTGTACATCATTCGAATTTAAATATTGTTTTAATCTATCAAATTGAAATTCACCTTCATTTATATTGTGATTTGAATTCGATATTAATCTGTTTAATGTCACCACATGAGGAAGTGCACCAGGTAAATTTATTCTTATTAATTCATAGGTTAATTTACCACCTAATATATATAATAATAGTGCAAACCGTTTAACAGACTCATTATATTGATAATTTCTTTTTGATCTTGAAAGATTATTTGTTATATTATCAATAAATGATGATAAAAATGATTGT